TACCTGATAGACTCTATGCTTGATTGTTCTTTTGTAAATAGAATGTAATTTTGTAGGTGATTTGTGAGGTAAGATGTTATATTTTCTATACTAGTACTTGTATACAATAGTATAGTATGTAAATTCACTATATGCAGTTACGTCAACCCATACTGCTTGGATGTTATATTGATATTATACTATGCACCGTATATAATAGTATAGTATAGTATGTATACCGTATATGCAGTTACGTCAACCCATTTCAAACATTTTCATTGCTTGCTAACCACCTCTCCTTCTCCCTCTCCCTCAATCCCTCCCCTTCCCCCTCTCCCTCTCCCTCTCTTTGTATTGGAGTTCACTTTGGCGCCCACAAGCACATGTGCTTCTGGTGTCTTTTGTGTTTCCTTGTGCTTATACTACATCATATATATATTATAGTATAGTGTTGCTCATGGGGTCAGACAAGAACATGATACATAACGTTCTCATTCACGGTTAATGATGTCTATGCATATACCTTGAGTTAATTGAATTGTCCATTATATACTAAATTACTTATAGTTTAGAATGAAGTCAACAATATCCAAACACGATGGAAGCAAAAGGGTCTTTATACATCGCCAATAAAAAAATGCCTAACTTTAATCCTTGGCGATGGGTAAAACGTGCGGCCTCGTCTGACTATGTTATATGGTTTGTGGTATAGTNTGAAGTCAACAATATCCAAACACGATGGAAGCAAAAGGGTCTTTATACATCGCCAATAAAAAAATGCCTAACTTTAATCCTTGGCGATGGGTAAAACGTGCGGCCTCGTCTGACTATGTTATATGGTTTGTGGTATAGTATACTTTAATCATGTTCCTTAGAAAATGTGACGCGCATATATTCACGCGCACGCAAGTGATGGATAAAAATGTCAAGATTTGGTTGTAATTGTCACATCAACTATTTAGTGGTTAGATTCTTAATATTTTGAACTCTTATGGTTATTGAACAAAATCACCCAAAATAATATTCTCGTCAATTCAATTTTTGGAGTTTTTAGGTAATCCATGATGTAATAACTAATATTTTGTACAACAAATCACAAAGAAAAGTTAATTAACTTTTTTTGCTTAAAATTATTATATATTATTTACAAATAAATTTTAATTTTAATTCAAAAATATAGCGTTTTTGCTGTGGCAACAACTTGCGAGTTTTTAAGCGGCTGTTGGGCTAAGTGTTTTGCTGTGGCAACAACTTAGCTATATTTATGAAGGAAATACTTACCTGAGCCATTTAAGTTCTCAAGGAAGCGAGGAAGATGGTGAGAAGAGCTGTGGGAATCTATTGAAGTTTTTTGGATGTCCGCTTTTGATGGAAAGGCACTTGCTAGCTATAAGGGCATCCACATCAATGAACCCCCTCTTGGGTTCATTGAATCATTTTTTTATTATTAAATATTTTATGTTTTCTTTTTGATTTTTTTTTTAAAAAAAAAAAAATAAAAAAAAAAATCTAGACCAATCCCGAACCGCCACGTGTTGAACCTCAGGAGAGAGGGGTTCACCGCAGTGAACTTTAGGAGAGAGGGGTTCATAGATTTTTCTTATTTTATTATTATTTTTTCTTGATTTCCGTGTGAACTCCCCCCATGAACCTTCAATGGGGGTGCTCTAAGGAACTTGAGGAAGAGACATAAGACATAAGAAGAGAATGGTGAGTTCAAGATGTTTGTTCTGTTTCCACCTGCAATATTTGGAGCTTGTTTTTGGTCATTCAGAATACATTAATCATACACTTGGAGCTAACAGGTAATATAGATGAGCAAAGTTTGTATCTCGTTGTGAAAAAATGTGTTCATAGAAGGAGAGTGATTCGTGGCACAAGGAGTCATTTTGTGGAGTATGGAGTTGTTATTGATTCAAAAGGCAATGTTGTTGACGAGGTACACATTCAAAAGCTCTCAACTTTTTCCAATTTTTATTGACTCTTATCATAAAAAGCTTCAGACTTTGTGATATAGAATCTGAGTCTGCTTATTAGGTTTTAGCTGTGCCTATGTTCGCTCCTCAGTCATACACAAGGGAAGATGTAATTGAGCTTCAATGTCACGGTAGCGAAGTTTGTATACGGCGTGTTTTGAGAGCATGTGTTGACGCTGACAGAACCAGGTGAGAAAGATGTATTGCTTATTTGGTTTTGATGTGTGACTTTCTTATGTGAGTTTTGGGTGTTATAGATTCTGAAGCCTCCTTTTTTTAATTTTTAAACAGGAGAGTTTACACTTCGTGCGTTTCTAAATGGACGTTTAGACCTTACACAAGCTGAGAATGTTGAGAAGCTTATCTCAGCTAAGTCTTCTTCTGATGCAGATGCCGCTTTAGAAGGGATTCAGGCATAACATCTTTACTCCTTGTGATCTAATTATATATTTGATCATTGTTATGTAACTAACTACAAGTGTTGTTCTTCTTCTTACTTTTAGGTTTCATTTTGTAACATTTAACATTAATGCGGAGGTTTATTTTTCTTTAATTCTACCTCTGTTCTACAATTAGTATGTTAATAATTGCCCCCAGGAGCTTAGGTGTAACAGTCAGACCAGAAGAATCATCTTCTCTTAACAGTATCCTCAGGTGTTTCAAGAAAGAAGTTCTTATCACATAGAGTGAACTAGATGTTGGAGCAGCAAGTGGAGTTCCACAGAGGCAACAAACGTTGGGAGAGATGACTTTGGAGGAGTTCTTGGTCAGAGCTGGTGTGGTTAGGGAAGAACTATCCGTAGATTCTACATGCTAGTGTGGTTGTTCAGCTTTGCAACTGTGGTCAAGTTTATAAGGATTTATAAATTGTTTTATAATCTTTTATAATGGTGTATAAACATTATAAATTATTTTTATAAACTCTTATAAGTTATTTACATACCCTTATAAACCCTTACAAAGTATTATACAAACCATCTCTATAATATTATTTGAGAAGTCACTTTCTTAGGTGTCGCGATCACGTTAACTCTCACGCTGGTTGATTACTATGATACCCCTAATGAATTAAAAATATATTTAAATATTATTATTTCCTTTTTAAAATCTTTCAAATAACAATATAAAACAAAAAGAAAATATTTCTAAAATTTACAAAACTATTTAAAAACGAAAAATAAGTATATATATAATATGGTTTCATAAAAAAAAAAGTTTACAAAATAGTAATATTTAACTTAAATATATGTTTAAATAACATAAATTATACTTTTTAAGTAATTGTATTTTATATCTATATATTCTTAGATGAAAAAAATATTTGTATATAATGTGTTTTCATAAAAAAATTTCATACAAATAATCTTGATATTAGAAAAAGAAATATGTTTTCTTTAAAAAAATAATTTAAACAATAAAATATATATTTTCAAAGTAATTAGTTTTTGTATATATCTATCTATTTTTTTAGATGATTACATAAAATAATTAAGTAACATAAACTGATATATGTTTAATTGACAAAAAAATTATAATTAGTATATTTATTTGATTATAATATCTTCCGTTACAGCAAAAAATATAAATTATATTTTACTTATATAATATAATTTCTCAAAAACAATCACATTTTTACTGCATATTTTTAAGAGATATTAAAAACAAAACTAAAAATAAATTTAATGGT